TTGCTGGAGTAGACTCCTTGGAGAGAAGAGGAAGCCTCCTAAGTGGACTTATATTGCTAACCTGGTCACCCCGTTCCAGAATTGTCAAAGGAACCCCACAGTGAATATACTCATTTCCTCAAGACAAATCCTAGTGTTGGGGAAGGGTCCTTTCACCTGTCACCATGAGCCCCAGGGTGGCACTGATGTGCCAGCAGGACTTTTATAATAACACCAATATTGGCCTGCATCATGACATCCAATGGATGAGATAAAGATCTTGTTCTTTTTTTTTCAGTGTCTTCATGAGCTGTTGGTGTCTGGATATCTGGGTTTCCTTTTTTATAGAAATGTTATTCCTGAGCATTTATAAGAGGACTTCACAAATTAAAGTTACCTGCTTCCCAATGGTTACCACAGTACTTGGTACAGCTCTGAGTTTGGGTTTAGAGAGGCCCACTGAAAACAAAACAAAACAAAACAAAAGAAAGAACAACAACAAAAAATGAATGTTTGGTCAGAAGACATTCTGCTTAATTCTAAGCTCTCAGTCTCAGGACCTTGAAGGCAACACCAGCATCAGCCCACACCAGCTCTTCTCCATCTCTTTTCTTCAGAGGTGACCTTTGATCTCCACTGAGAATGTACACTTTATAAAAGCTGAGAAGACACTCACCTGCCAGCACTTGGTTCCTGGGGCCCAGACTCAGTCCTGCAAGAGAGTTACCTGTGAGTATATATACTTGAAGCCTGAGCAGGACCTCCACTTCCAGATGCCTTCTGAGCGACTGAGACACCCTTGATGGATTAGTGTTTAGCTGTGAGGTAGACTACTCAGAGTTCTCTCTCCACAACTTCATTTCTCACCAAGACAAAGCAGAACTGTGAGGTTGGGGATCATAGCCTCTTCCAGTTGCCAAAAGTTTGCAGATGGTTGGTCCCCTTGACAAATGAACAGACACAAAGTATATTGCCCGTGCAGTATGGTGCCTCCTTGTCGAGAGTATGTTATACAGACAGTCCTTTCAAAAACAGGAACTGCTCTTTCTAGGTAAGTGGCTTTTGCTTTCCCACTGCTGTGAAGGGTGGGGCTCCAAAACATGTGGTCTCTGTTCCTGTGGGTTTCATTGCTTTTGGTTTTGGTTCTGACACAAAGCTTACTGGGATTCAAGCAGGTCTCAATCTCCTCCCCTTTCTCAGTCAGCTTCCTGTGTGATTGTTTTACAAACCCATATCTAAATGTGGTCTCTTCTTTCAGAGCATCTCCCATATACCCATCTACATCTGCTTAGATGATCCTCTTTACCAAAGACCAAGACTTAATTAGAAATAAATGTGATGCATCCCTGAGCCAACACCTTCAGCTGAGGGTGCTCAGAGCTGATCTTTTTCTGTCTTCTACTTGGTTCTAATTACACTTTAAGCCAGACTGTACTCGTAATGCTGAAGATTCCTTATCCAGGCCAACTTCAGTTTTCTTGGGGATACATGAACAATGAATGGCTACTTCCTGCAGCAGGTAAATCAATCACACAGACAATGACAAGATTCTACCTAAATCAAGCTGGTGAAACAATGAGTATTATAAGTGTTTCTTAGAGGGTTATTGAAAATTTATTTAATATTTTGGGGGGACAGGGTCTCACTGTTTATTTCTGGATGTTCTTGAACTCACTCTGTAGAACAGACTGACCTAGGATTCCTAGAGATCAATTATCATGCTTATGCTTCCCATTTGGTTGTGTTGTACCCACAGTCCCCCAAAGACCACCAAGAGACCAAATCCAATTCAAAAGCAAAGAGTCTTTTTGCTATTAGGAGTTAACGGGGGCCTCTCCGTCCATCTGATGCAGAAGCAGAGCAGGCAGAGGCTGAGCAGCAAGGGAACAGGGTATCTATAGGAAATAAAGCAAGGGGGTTTGGGGTTTACAGACCACAAAGGGGCAGACTCAGGATTGATGCACCTCCCATCCAGCAGTTGTTGTGGCTACTACATTTTCTCTTTATCAGGAGCCTGCTAGCTTTTAATTGGCTTCTTCTACTGTATGTGGGCATCTGGTGGGGTTTTCCTGTAACTAGAGCTAGCTAGGCCCACGGTCAGGGGCTCAAGGGCACATTGTGCTGTGCCAGGGGCAAACATCCTGGTGGATCTTTTCCAAGTCTGTCATGGTTGCAGAACAGTCAAAACAGGGGTCCGGGCAGGGCCCTGAGTTCCTCATTTGCCCCCTCTTGATGTTACTCAAAAAGGACCAATCATGTGTTCTCCCTGAGGATCCCTAAGGGACGGACATGAGACCTCGTCACCATTAGCTGTACTGTATTCATCTGTTCCTTAACAAAGGAAATTAACTTGTTCAGGATACAGGGCCCAAAAGTGAGTAGAGTAAAGAAATCAGTAAGGGACCCAGCAAGGTAGAAATCAGAGTAGTCAACCATGGGGATGAGTTGAATAGTTACTCAGACCAGCCCTGTGTTTGTTCTTGCTCTCTTTTGGGCTTTTCCAACCTGTCTCTGACCTTTGCCAGTGATTCTTTTACCAGCCTTGAATGGTTGACTTGGAAGCAGCATTCTTCCCCATGAGCTGCACTTAGCCCATCCTGATGCAAGGATATATGTTCCGAGCCCCATTTGTTTTGTAACACTACTGCAGCAAGAGGAGACGGCAAGGCTTTCAGGTGGGCAATGAAGTTTTCAAGCCTTTCTAGGTCTGTGTCAATAGCAGCTCGCAGGTCATTGTAATATTTGTCTTATACCCCCAAAGATGATATCCCAGTCCCTGCACCTGCCAGTCCCAGGCTCAAGAGGACACCTATGTGAGGGCTGTCACAGGCTCTCTTTTCGGTCAAGTCTGCTATTCCTCTAGTCTTTGGTATATATCTTTTTCTTGATGGTAGATTATTTTGGGAACCAGACACACCAATCAATATACAAAAGTCTTCGTCCTAACCCAATACCTCTCTGTGGACACAGGAAACCAACCCAGAGGAGCATACCCATCACCCACCCTCCATGGGTAGGAGGTATCTGTGGGGAAGTATCTGAATGGTCTGATTACATAGTGGCTTGTAAGAGATAGGCACCATTCCTAGGCAGAGCCCCATTCCCATAACAGACTATAGAGTCAGCCTGGCTTCGCCATTCTGCTGTCAATGGCATTGAGAAGGGTGGTCAGATTCAGTGTATTTTCCCCCATGGTAGCTATTTCCTCAGAGTGGGGGAGTTTAGTGTCAAGTCATAACCAACAGGAATGGGTGAGGTTTGATATAGAGGGATTAAGGACTTGGTAGGAGGCCTCTGGTAGTTTTAAGAGAGGACCTGGCTCTGGTATGGTAAGACTAGGTGTTCTGAGAGATGTAGCAACCTGATAGGGGTACTCGGGTGGCATGGGATCACCTGGTGTTTTCCCTTGGGGAAGAGCTGGTTCAGATGGAGCCAGCACTCGGTTGGGCTCTATCTTTTGGGGATCCCCCTGGCCTCTTGGAAGAGTAAGACTGGAGGCTATTAGCCAAAGAGTAAATAGGGCCCCTGGATCATATCCAAAATCAGATAGCCTAATGCCCCATGTTTTACCAATATTTTGTCTTTTTACTTGGTTTTGTGAAAGTTATTTTTACATGGTTGCAAGTGTGTGGTCCTGGGAAGACTGTGTCACATGGGTATAGGACAGTGGGACCATTGGTGACACTATTGTGCTTTTGGGGGAGT